GGGGGGGGGGGGGGGGAAAGGCGCATAATATCGGTCGGAGGGCAAAGTGGAGGAAGCGAACTGGTACGAAACTAATTTATTCCAAGACTTACGAAGTTTTAAAGTCCGTCCTGTAAAGCGGAACGTAATAATTCGGCTGCGCTGAAATTGTGGCTGTTCGTTTTTGACGATTTTATCCATTTCGAAAAAAAAAGTTTTGTCAATGTCGCTAAGCAGTTGCAGTTGGCTTGAAGTTCCTGATATGCTTTGATTTTTAATTGAGTTTGATAATTTTATTATTTTCTGTTCATCATTGCTACGATAATTGATGGTTGGACTTGCTGATAGACAGAGAATCTTTAACTTTGATATTTAATGCAAGCATTTTATAGAAAGAGGTGGATACGGGAGATTTATTAAATGGCGATACTTGATGATTAAATATTTCCATTTCCCGCCGTTCGCTACTGTACGTACCAAGCGACTATTCATATATTCAGGATATTTCAATCCCCTCGAGATAATTACATGATTCTCACTGAGTCGTTCAATCCTGTTTTCAATTTAACATGAATTTCAACGGTACAGATAAATCCAGACAGAAGCCATTGTGGAATTCAGGCTAATTAAAAAAATCAGGACGTCAGATAATGTACTGGTGGACGATTCCGTTTTTTTCTCTTTTGCACAATTTCCAGATCAGGACGATTAATTATCAATTATTTGCAATTAGTTGTGCTATGTTTTATAGATTTCTTAATTGCTTGCTATCTTTCTATTATTACTTAGACTTACGCATTATTGTCCTACCTATTGAGAACCTGGGATCAAAAATCCACTAACCATACTAAATATGAGTAGTATCAGATGACCTGGTGCAATTATATTTATATTTGTAATCGTCATTCATATTTTTTAGACGATTTAACAGTATACTAGTTCCACTTTGTTTTATGCCGTCGATCTGGGACTTGTAGCTAAGTTCTTCACTGTAGAAAGTTGCCGAATTCTGGCTTGTATGTGAGCTTTAATTTGTTCAAAATCCCATTTTGATATGTTGGTGCAGAAACTTGTATGCTGGGAGTCTGAAAATGAAAATAGTCTTTGATGAATATGAAGATATATTATTCATACTCCATTATACGTGCTAATTAGTATTTATTGGATTACTTAAATAAATTGTGGATTTACTTGCTTCTAATTATTTAGTTACCGTATGACAGTCTGCTGAGTGAGGTAGAATTATGTATGTCTTATAGCCCTTTGTTGTGCGTTCAGGTCGAAATGTTTTTTTAGGCTGTCGCAAAAAGGCCCTGTGGCCCAGAGAATTCCTGGAGCAGACGAAAGGGTTGCTCACCCCAGAACTTTACTTGGGATCCCACGAGAGAGGGAACCCCCTTTTCTTTACTGCCAAAACTACGATGCTACTGTGGATCCACCTTTACGCCCACAACGGAAGCGAATGATTTGAACATTGTTCGAGCAGTTCTTTGTTTGCGTCCTGACCCTTCCTCATGGCGACGCCATTATTAAACACATATTTTAAGATATTGTACTCTGCTAAAACCGAGCACTAAAACAGGAACGATTCCGCATTTTTTTTTACCTTGGAATAGCGAGCCGCTCTTTATTCGCCTTCATTATTCCAGTGACTATTATACTCTGGGTGACCTAGAAAAGGGCCCGAAGTTCTTGGGACAAGTCCCATTCAGTTTCACCTTTATCTTGGCTCCTATACGTGGGCTGTCATTGTACGACTCAATAGTTTAATCGCAAAAAGCACCAAAGTACCTATACAGACACCAAGCGTAATGAGAGAGAGAGAGAGAGGGACAAAAAATATTCATTCGCGCTACCCATATTCTAATCTTCTGAATGCTGTGATGAGTATGGATCACAAAGTTGGATACCACCTTCTTTTTTTCTTCTTCAGCGCATTGCCTTAACGAGAGAAGCAAAGAACCGGCGGTGCTCTATTTCGGTCCTTGTGAATTTTTCGAAGGACTCCGGAGCAGCTTGTCGCGTAACCTTTTCTGGGTCGTGAAACTTTTTAATTCGTCAAATAAATTCTGGGAGAAATTGCCTACGTTCTGCTTTCTGCCAGCCGTTCGGAACGGCGATCTTCAGTACTTTTATCTCCGAACGACATATTAAGCTAAACACTGGTCATAGGTATTTGCACTCTTACCCAGTGACATCTCGAAAGTGTTTGAACTATCGAAGCTTATTTGTCACGACATTCTTGGCTTTCAAGGGGATTCAGGATATTACGTTTTAATCGTTTATCGATATCAATTTGATCTTTTTTCTGTGCCTACTGTGGACGGCTTTTTTTATTTTTTTACTACTCTTGCTATCCTCTAACTTCACTTTCCTTCATCCTTCTCTTTCTCTTTCACTCTCCTCGACTCGTCTCAGCTTTAAAGGTGACGTGGCAATTGCATCTTGCGAAAACCTAGACGGTTATCGAAGCCGACTACCGCACCTTCCGTCCCGTCAAGTAAATTCCTTTGGTCGCTCCTCGATTTTTATCCGAGTAACTTCGACAAGGCAGCCTGGAGCAGAAGCTCGTATTCCCGAGTAGCAGAATTTCCCAAAATGCACTTTCCGTAGGACAGTTCATACTCGAATCCACTTCCTCCTTTTCACCTTTATTTCTGTGACGTCTGGAGGTTGGGGATGCGTGCGATCAGTTCAGTCTCAGATATACATCTATATATCTATCGGTATATGTAGAACAGCGACCTATGACGTCATTGTTCGATGGGTATGCATCGCGCACCCCCTAGTTCCCGGGAGCCGAACTAGGTCAGGGATAGAGTCACCCTGCTGCACTCTGTCCTCGTATATCGTTGTTACTGCCCTCACACAATAATATCCCCCTATTTATGCATCTACCTATACATTCCCCGCATACCACCCAATCTGCTTCTGAATATTACAACGAAGCATCTGAGTGTCTCAGCAGCAGCTACCGTTACTGTTAATCATTAAGATGTTTCTCAAGGTTGATATCTGTACACAAAGTGCAGTCTTAGGTAACTGAAAGAGAGGTTAGATTTTCAAAATCTCTCCCACCACTATACCTATATATAGACATCATACCAAGACGTATACCTTCATAATTTTAAATAGATTCTTTAAAAGTCTCCAGCTTCCTAGAGACAAGACGACGTTCCAATTCGGCAGATTCTTCCGGACCAAAGGATCTTAATTATGTCAAAACTCCGTAGCTAGGATAATCTTGAAAACGTTTGGCAATCTTCCCCGACAGTCGACGATTTCTCGACTAATGTAATGGATCGTTGCGACGACATTAACTGGGTTAAAGCGCAAAAGCGCAAAAGCGCAAAAGCGAAGTGGCTGTATTATGAAGACTGCGAACGTGATAAAACCGCTAATTGCAGTAGCTCAACTTCAGTGGACTGTTGCGACGACGCGTATCGTCCCGACGTCGAGTTTCGGCCTCTTCCATTGTCGCACGTAACAGTACAGTATAATCGTAGACACTACGGACACCGTTTTCCATGTTTTGCTCCCTTCATCTTCCGCTGTATCCCAATGGAAAACTTTACAATTTAAGCTGGAGCAAAAACCATTGCTGCTCTTGCCAGGTCCTTCTTAAGTACACGATATCTCAGCCTTTTGTATTTCGTAATTAACGAATAGTAGCCTTTTTTTTCTCAAGCTCCGACACTAAACTATTTCGCGAGGCTGCATTGCTTTATGCACCTTAATCTGTGTAGCAGTGACACTTTGGATATAGAAAATAATAAGTATACCGTCTCGGGAGACTATTGTGCATGTAGTGTGCCGAGGGTGTTTGTTTATGTTTTTATTATTCAGGAGATAATTTTCAATCTTATCTCTTATCTGTTTCAGGTAATTCCTGTTCTTGTAACCATCTGACTTCGGATACCATTGAGCCAGCAATTTAAGCAACGGTCTCCCTCACTACGAATTACGGTTAAGACGTTCGTTAAAATATATTATCTCTTGCACCAAGTCGTAAAGATACGGGTGAACGATAATACAGTGCAAAATGGCAATTCCAGCCTTACCTCAGTTTTTAAGTTTTCTTCATGTATACTGTAGGCAACTGGTACTCCTCTATGTCTCCGTCTACATCCCTCGAGATTTTACAACGGAGTACTTAACTTTTCCTTGGCGCAACTACCTAACACTTTGTACCGCAGGTGGATAGCCGACGGTGGCTTCTTACTAAGTGGAAAGAAATATCGGACCGTTAAGTACACCGCTGCGACCATTTCTCCTTCTTAACGTTAGCAATGTCCTAAAACTGTCGGTTAGGCAATACTTATGAGGCACGAACGTTAGAGTCTTTGGCTCTTTTGGATATTTAAATTAGACAATGTATTATCCTCTGGAGCTTACTTCGTGTCTTTTGGCATATGCGGTATACTGTAGAGCGCGTTCGCTTCTCTTGGCTGGAGTTTTAATAAAGGAGGCGTGACCCTGTTATATTCATGGACCGACTGAAGTACTGCTGCGGCTCCTGCCGTTTTGCCGATTTGTGGCTCCGAATCGGAGAGACCGATTCTCGATGTGTGCTGTTGGTACATGGAAGTCGAACAGGAGGAGGTCACATAGGAAGCAGTTAACGCGGCCTCGTGCACGTTTCTGTATTTTTTGTCACACGTGTATTATAACGGACCACGGGATATACAGTCTGTTCAAAATTGTTTTACCGACGGGTACAGCGGTTTTCTTCAGACAAACCCAGATCATAAAAGTGACTTATTTTATTTTAGTGTTTACTTTTTAGGCAAAATTCATAAATTTTTGTTTCTTCAGTGTTTTCTGACGCGAGAGTACATGTATGAACTTTTTTTTTAAAAATACGAATAGAAATGGATACCAAAATTTTCCCGCGTAGGGAAGCAGCTGTGCACAGTCGCGTGATACGTATTTTTATTTTTCTTGAATAGGTAAAATTGGCTATTTCACGTGACCGATATACGGGTCCATTGGTTTCCGCGGTACGATATAGATGCTGCCCTCGCATGTAGGACAATGTTGCGGCATCCACGGAGGGTTGGGGTCAGGGTGTGGGGTGAGGGTGGTGGTTGCCAGAGGTTGAATGCACTGGTTATTGGGTAATGCGATTTCAGAGCAGCGTGAACCACGAGGGTCTCCAGGAAATTACGTGCACGGAGCTGCTGCGGCTGTTGAGATGCTTTTTTCAACGTTGAATCCTTCGTGCTACGTGCTCGAGAATATTTTTATTAAATGGATGCTGCGGACAATCGTTTTGGAAAGTAAAATCTTTATTTCTGTACGCATACATATGTGCGTCCGGCATCCTGCATTAATTCTTAGTGCGTCTCTCGAATATTCTCTGCAATATCTGACTACGTGAAATTGCACGAAACAGGGAAGTGAAGATCCGTCGGTAACGTGGAAGCAAAGTTGAATACGTAACTTTGTTAAAGAGTGCACGAGAATTACTTTGCTGTCCCGCGAAAGTAAACTTGACTTCATGTTTATTAATACCTTGTGTCTCATTTGCGATACGCGACATCTAATTTTTTTATATGCTCCGCTGGGATTCCTTGGGGAAAGTTTACTTCGTACTATGAAGTTACTTTTGGCTTTTTTTTTGTTAAATAGAACACGAAAGAAAATTGTGTTTTTTTTTTATATAGAGATAAGAGACCTGCCGCACGCTGTACCGAAATCTTCTAAACGATTAAAAATTGATTTCATACCTTTATATTTCTGAAATAATCGCAATCTGTCAAGCTGACGGCACGTCGTGAACGCGCACGTCAAGCGGCAACCTCAAACTTGCCGACTATAGCGGCAGCCAATTGGAATCGTGGAAAAGTGCTGACAAAATTTCGAGCTATTTTCTATACACGACACGTTAACGATAAACATGGATCTTATACTAACGAGAGGGAAATATAAAATCCTATTGTGTCTCCCGATAGCTGTGTAAATTTATGAAGCAGATGCTTCTATACGCAGTTTTCATTGTTCTGCACGAATATCATTGAGGCTCTGTAAAATTGTGAAAAAAAAATGTTTACGCGAATTTGTATACTACATCATTCCACCTATGGATTTTATTGTTTCCTTCGGAGAAAGCCGTTCCGGTTTATTCCCGCGGGGAAATATTTTGTGAGGTCAAAGGTGACGCATCCCGACTCGAAAGAGTACAGCTAGACGTATGACAGTGCCACGTCGTAAAAGCTATCGCTGCATCGAATATTTCCTTTATGGATTCTCTGTGCTTGTCAATGGGCATGAATCGGACGAATAATCTCGTGGATGACAAAGTGACTTTATCCACGTCGCCAGTATCGCTTTTATGCAGCATTTTACCTTCTGAGATCACACAAGAGAAACGCAGCATACAGGTCGCACATATGCTACGACAGCTGCGGGAGAAAAGTTTGTTTAAATTTCTTGTCTTTTCGAAATGTACATCCACTGTCTATGCGAGGATTTATATTGAACTATCCATACAGTATCATCCGAACAATACCCATTGATAAAGTTCATCAGTGAAAATGGTCGACATGAAAAAAATGATGGTTGTATAGGAAGCACGTTTTTGTACGGACACAAGGTATAGATAGGCCATCGGGTACTTGGAGAAATAATTCCCTCGTTGCCACAAGAAATTCCTATTGGCATTTAATCATGAGAATCGAAACTGACGAGTCGATTATTTAGTCAAGTTGAGTAAAAGCCTCCTGTCTCCTTGAGTCGGTAGCTGATAGTGAATTAACGGGGGTCGGGTCACTGATGACGAGTACAAACTGGCCGGTAGTGAAAAAAAAGTCCCCTAAGACTCAAGAAGGCAGTGCGAAAGGATAAGGGGAGCCGGTACGGGGTCGAAGGGTCGCAGGAATCAGAAGTCGAGAGAACCGCCCTAAGCGAATCCACGATTTCGTACACGTTGTCGGATCGACTCGGCAGAATGCGCCGGCGGCCAATCACTTTCCATGCTGTTAGCGATCGATACGCAACAGTCTTTTCCCATCTCCGCTACGACTATCTGACAGTTTTATTATTGACGTGACCCGAGATCAGTGGCCCGACAATTATTTTTTAAAAAGCAACACGTGCTCCCTGGGACTACATTGCACCCGTAGGACCCAGTCCTATATGCACTATGTAGAATGCGTATGCCTATATTCACGAGAAGCCTTCCGGGCACAAGGTTCGTTACTGGTCTAGTTGTCCGAAACAGTTTTTACCTCTGCTTCGTTTTTTATATTTCTTTTTTCCCCTCTTCCTCACCGAACTAATTTGAGGTACCTACTTCGCGTAACCTGGGAAATAACAGCTACGAATGGAGGCCATGCTGTAGACTCGATTGCTCGCGGCGGTCCATCGTGCAGGACATTACGTAGAATGGAGTTCTAAACATTTCATTGGGAATGAAAGTCAAGCTGGGGATACGGGAAAATCAAAGGAAGTTACCTGGTAATGAAATGCCTTTGAGCAAAATTGCATCTCGCCGATAGTTAAGACGTCGATCGATCGCTACACGAATTTCTCGTACGGATAACTTGATCGTATTAATAGCTACCGACATCGATTGATTCTGCTTTGGGAAACAGGGGAAAAATCTTCGTTCCGATCTGTCATGATTACATCGTTACCACCTGTTACGCTTTATTGTCTCAATGAGATTCCTCATAGCAGGGGATCAACTACCGATCATATAAGGGGTGCAAATACTTGCTGAACAGGGAGTAACCTTAAACCGAAATTCCTGTATCAGTGATACGACTCATTGATTTTCGTCAAGAACTACTATGGATAAAATTTTATTTTACCTCGAGAATCTTTCGATTTCTCTCTGTCCCGGAAATTAATGAAGTGTCCTTACCGATTTCCCGTCGTCGTCACTGTCGTCGCCATGCTAAAAGAAACCGGAGCGGGATGGGAACTAGGAGGAATAAGTATCGAGGAAGCGCACAAGAAGAAGCGGATGGAGAATAAGAAAAAGAAGATGAATGCCCGGCACAGTATCCTGTACGAAATTAATCTTCCAGAAGGCGAAGGCTGGAGCAATAATTCGCGGACGTTCACCTGTCATGTAGCACGGGGGGCACTTGCCGGCACTGGAGCGTCTGATGACAATGCGCGGTCATAAAGCACGCGTGGCGACGCAAAGTGCTTTGACGGTATGGAGGGCTGGGGGGGAGCTGTCCTTCAGCATCCCTGCACAGAGCCTGGTGTATTCGCATGCACCGGATTAGTCGTCAAGAGAGTGTAAATGGCAGGGACGGAATTGCATATAAATCATTCGCGTTCGCGCTACGCGAGACCCCATGGGTCTACCAGGTGCTGTCACACGAGCACGTATGGACGAGCATGCGTGCGCCTCTTTCTAGGTATTTATCAGAGCGGCAGCATTACCCGGATGAAGAAAAATCTTCGTGGTGTACCTCCCTGGCGGGGCGGACAACAAATAGTAGTTGGGGTATAAGACTCACGTGTCTACGCAACCGTTACTCTATACGTCTGCATAGATTACAGGACGTTGTCTTATCGATTTTATCAGGTATACAGTCCGCATACTCGTGCACCTGAATTGCAAAAGGAGCAACGGCTCTCGAGTTTACAAAGGGAGCGTATAAGAATAAATCGTTAGGGGTGCTTCGGAAAAGAGCTTTCTCCAATGGATTATCGACTTGCCACTTTGCTTTCGCGTTACGCCCCTGCGAGCTTTTCTACGTGACGTACCTGCTCGCTCGGCATTCGAAGAGTAATAGACTTGAGCGACACGGCGACCGTGACCCTGCGATTCTTTTAATCGATCGGTCGACGTGTGCCGTGAGAGAGTCACGCGTCGTGATGCAGTTATATACAGTAATTGAGTTCATGTATTATATATGTATATATGTATATACGGAAGTTTATTCAGTACAAATGTACCGCGTGAAGTTGGTTCTATTCATACACATCATGTAAAGAAGCTAATTTCAGTCTATACGTTTGACCTGAATAACCCTGTATAGACACCACGGGATACACCAAAAAGTAGTGCAGGCACCCTTAAGTTTCTCGGATACAAGC